CCACAGGGGTCACCGATATCTCCACTTCTATTCCTTCTGTACATGGCAGAACCCATGCGGGATGGGAATCCGGAACGATGTTTTAGCTATGCCGATGACGTTGGTGTTCTTGCTTTCGGCCGCACAACAGTAGATTCTGCCTCGGCCGCCCAAGAAGAGGTAAATCAACTGACCAGTTGGGCGCAAAATAACGCTGTAGCCTTCGACACAGATAAGTCCGAGGTAATCCAATTCCCTGGGCGCCATCGGGAGATAGGAATAGGCATACACGTCAATAGTACCTTTATTGAACCATCGGAAAATGTTCGCTGGCTAGGAGTTTACCTGGACCCTCAGCTCAATATTAAACACCATGTGACAAAATGGTGCGGCAAAGCTGCCAAAGCTGCTCATCATATGCGTCGTTTTAATTCTGCTTACCGAGGTGTTGCCCCAGATGCACTGATAAGAGCGGTTGACCTATGTATCATCCCTGTCGCTACTTACGGCTACGAGGTGTGGTGGCCAGGCCTGAAGCGCCCAACTCAACGCGGAGTCAGCACTTCACAAACGACTGACCTCTGCAGCATGATTGGCAAAGCCATCGGCACAGGATTACGGGCGGCACTTCCAGTAATGAGGACTACGCCCACAGTAGTGCTACAGCGAGAAGGAGGGATCCCGCCGGCAAGAATCATTCTCGAGGGGAATTGGCTTCGACTATCAGCAAGGCTCAAATCCCTTGACCCTGGACATCCTCTGAGAAGACGAGCTGCTGTCTGCCCTAATATTGGGACAAGAAAGTACAAGAAACATGATCGTCAATCAGCACGACCAGAGATTCAAATGTCTCGAATCCAGCGTGCTTATCGACAACTCCCAGAAGCTAAATCCGCCGAGCCTTTACCGGCTTTGGCCTATCTCAGTAAGGTAAGCGCGAAAGAGAAAGACACGGAAATTTGTAAACGCTGGATAGAGAGTCTGCCAAGCTCGGTGATCTGCGCCTACTCCGATAGGGCATCATAAGGGCACGGTCGCTCGGCGTGGGCTTTTGTCTTGAAAAGAGACGGAAAGACCATAGATAGAGATTCCGGTACCATACATGGGGGGGAGGTACTGGAGGCTGAGATAGTCGGAGTAAGGAAGGCTCTAAAGGCGGCATTGCGAATAAGTGGGCTGGAATCTCGGATCCCAGGAAAAGTGGCGCAACCTATCTACGTGCTGACCGACAGTCAGCATGCAAGAACCGCTATGCTGTCCGGAGACACATCGACAAGCATTAAAGAAGCCCGGATATTTCGGATAATGACACAGGCTGCTCCCGAAAGAATCATCGTAAAATGAGTTCCAGGATACAAGGGCATTCAAGGGAACGAAGAAGTAGATGCTGCAGCTCGGAGCAAACTCCGCAGTCTCCCCCTCCGAGATGAAGAGCTGCAAAACATCAGCAGTGCATACCTCTACCGGCTTATGAATCAGAAGAGACAGATGCTGCTAGACCAATTCTGGGACGAATCATGCCCACCCAGATACCGCGAACTAGATTTAATGATGCGCCGAAAAAAGCCACCGGAACTTTCACTTCCACGACGACTTCTATTTGAAGTCATCGCGGCTCGTACCGGTCACGGAAATTTAGCCGCGTACCACAGACGTTTCAACAACTCAAACGCGAACATGAAGTGTTCGTGCGGAGAGGAGACTACAGCAACGCATTTCATGCATTGCAGACTTTACACTCGTCATACCCGACGACTAAGGGGAACTACCCTATACCAACAATTTCTTAAAATTCTTCTAGGGCCCAAATGCCTCAAAGAATTTTCAACGTTTGCGCAGGAAACTGGCTACTTCAAAAGCCAACCGGCGACCTTGTCCACAGCTCTCAGCATGGATGAAGAATAATATTTATGGTGGAAACCGTGAAAGGGAAGGAGTCAAGGTGAGGAGCGCTGATACTGGACCGTTAAATTGGAATTTCCTTTGTTTATTAATTTTGACTGTTGGAATTTATTTTGATTTAAACCGGCTACAGTTTAGGTAGTGGTTTCACGCGGTTGGAATGAGTTGTGCTGTGGCAAAGAACACAGGGATCCCTTCCGGCTCCACCGGTCTTGTTCCCATAGCGGACCGGGAGCAGTAGCTTAGGACCTTAAAATTACAAACAAGTGTGAGTAAATATGGGGTGAAGGTCTTCCGCAAGAAGAGATAGAGGGCACGTCGTGACCTGATACGAGTACGGGCTCGAAGTGGTCTTCACAAGGAAGAGATGGAATATCTAGATTGAGAATAATATTGAGAAGACGTTGCGTGAAGAAGGCAACTAGAGTGGAGGCTACGCTTCATTATGTACATGCTCGTAGTTCACTGTTACGTTACCTTTCCCTACTGAGGTCTGCTAGATTTGTATGCTAATAGTAAACCATCATTCTAACCCCTGTTATTATTCCGTGAAAATCCAACCCTAAGATAAAGAATATTGTACTTATACAGACGATATCCTGTATTAATAGAAAATCAAGTTACATCTAGTCTTAAGCACTACTATATATATAGATAGTTTGGAGCCACGAGACACCCGTAACCTACGCCATCAGAAAGCTAAGCTTATCTCACTCCTCACACATACTAATCCATCAGGAACCTCAGTGCGCTGTTAATTGGCACACGTGGTCCGGGGGAATATTTAAATAAATTGGCGATGCTGTACTATAGAAATCAATTCACGTATTTTTTAGACTCAAGCTCTACTCACGTTAAATTGTTGATTAGTCGGAGCCACGAGACACCTGCGTGATATCATTGTGATTATAAACTGGCCAACCAGAAGCCACAATTTCCCAGCACATTCCCCTATCACCACTATCATGAAGCTAACCACGATCAGATCAGATGGTAGGGTTGGAACCCTTCTCATCACCAACTCTTGATCATGGAGGAAAAGCCATCCGATGAGTTTCCGGAGCGTACCCGGGACCCGATACGGCGATGGTGGATGGGACTATGTCGGCCTCGAATGTTACAAAGGGAGATATAGATGAATATGTGCACCTCATGTGGTCCCGGTGTCTGGACCTCGCCAGGCTGGGGCTGCAGGTTTTTTGAGACTTTTTCCCGCTCACACAGTTTCCGTTGCTACCATTTTTTTTGGGTAGTAGGTTCTGTCACAGGCTTAGGGCCCTGTAGGATTATAGTCGGATAAGTCCGATTCCATTTCTAAAGATTGTTCATGTGAACTAATTGGATAGTTAAGCTAGGAGTAACTTACGTAAGACTTAGCAAATATTCAATTATATTAAGGAAATAATGACCCCTCAGTCATTGAGGTTGTAGAAGGCATTGATTCTACTACCGAAGTGAAACTAAGTACAGAATTTGTAGTCACATGTGTACCAACAACGTGGCCTACTTGATAGCCCCAATTATTCTAAATTCTAACAAATTATGTAGTTCACGTAATACTTTCGTTACATAGAACATAAACCTTTATTTTTGGATTCACCTGTACGAAGAAGCTATCGTGATTAGTCCTTTCACAGGTTCCGAGGAAAAGGTGGCTAAATGCCATGGGTAAACACTGAGCTGAATGACTATTTGTCACGAGCAATATCTCAATGATTTTTCAAGTAACATGAGAGGCAAGTAGCACTATACAAGGTGTGGCCTGGGTCAGAGAGGAGCCCAATGTGCTAGATAGTCATAGACTCAAGTAGTACAATAAAATTACACATATAATAGCTGAAGTTAATTATTTGGCTCAGAACAATGATTTTGTCTTCGTACATGATGTGAGCGGTTGTTCAGAAGAACATGTAGTATTAAAATATACGTACTGTGATCACTTGTATAAATTGAGAAGAGAAGCTGCAAAGCAAAAGGCGTAGATGAATCAGTATTGAATTGATATCCCGCAGTGGTGATATGGGTTGGGTCTTATAGAAATCCCTATCCACCAAATTGTGGTTCACTACTCTACTCCAAACGTGTCTCATTCTCTCGAGTAACTTAGAGGTACTTTGTCAATGACTACTCCTCCACTTCCACATGGTCTTTACGACTTGCCACTTACATTATTCGATGAATAATGACTGACCCGTGTACCATTCAGCCAGTCCATGACTCGTAGCTATGTGAGTAGTATAATCCGATACTCGAGGTTCCACATTCTATTTACTATAACGTGATCTATTTCTCGAACATATTAGCTGATTGTCTGGTAATAAGCTATGGGAGTATGTTTGCTCTTTATTCGAATAAAATATTATCCAAGACATCATTCTTCTACCCAAGGAAGATATGGTAAGCGATATACTGAATTTTAATCCCAATTTCAAAACAAGTCGACTAGATAAGCAAAGAGCGTCGATTTGCGGCAGCAAAAATTTCCTTTGGTATTGTTTTTTCTTCAAATCATGTATATTTCTTGTCAAAGCCAATCTTACTGGAAGTGAAGAGTCATCTAGGAGCTCGCATCTGTTTAAGCCTCCATCATGATGTGTTATAGCAAGATTCGCTAAATCACTTAGTTCAAAATAGCTCAGGCTAGATTAATTGTTCCGAAAATTATTGATAATATTTGGTTGATCGGACGTTCAGAATTTATAACTGAATTGCTGCTCGGAAATTATTGATAATTTCAACCATCTACTACCAGAACTGAAGTAGAATTGAGAGCTGTAGTGCAAAACTTTAAGTGTATTCTTTGCAATATAAACTTTTAATTATGAATTCTTGAGAATTATGATATCTGTTAGATCGTATGACTCATAGAAATTTTACATCGTGTCATGTAGGGACCATATAGTGAACACATGACAAGTTTGTTGTGGACACGCTTGCCAGGGCTAACAATTTAGATGTGAATACTTGATAGTCAATTTGTCAGAATGTAATCAGCAGATAAATAGACAGAACATTACCACATGATATGCAACCAATAAGATTTATGTTAAGTCCTCCTCATGGCCGCCCTAAAAATTTTATAATTTTTATCACTCAATAATCGTAGATAGAGGACATTTTTATACAGCGCTAGATTTATCGCCCTCTGTGTTGAGGGATCTTAGTTTCTCCAGCTCTTTTTTTTTGTTAGCTGTGAGCCATGATTCAATTTGTATCTCCATCTGAAAAACTGCCCTTACGAGGAAACTCGTGGAAACTCCGACTTTAGATGCTATAATTATTGAATAATTAATTCTCAAAGTAGAAATAATGCTCACCTGCATGCCCATAGAAATTCTTTGCTTCCTCAGTTAAGTCTCCCAGGGCCCGATAACGTATATACATAGCTCCAGGCCGAAGATTTTTCGACTTATCATATTCAATTGAGGAGCTCGGGGTTTGTAGAATGGAGGCTTCTTGTATAAGGATTTGTTTATCAAATCTTCGCTCAGTTTCTCCAATCTCTTCTTCGTAACTTCTTTGACTCTGGAGTGGGAAATGGTCGAGAATTAACTCCGATACTATTAATTTTGGATTAATACTATATATCAGGGACAACTTTTTGGCTTCTCACTTTTGGGTTTACGTTCATCCAGCCAACTTTTTTGAAACCAGTCAAGATATTGATCTATCTTTACATCGTCCATATTCCAGACGTCAGTATCCCTGACATTAAGTTCCTCGCCCTTCTTAAACCCTATTTCTTGATTCTCATGCATAATTTTAAACCATGCCTTCCAGTCTATTTTTAATATGGTTGGGTCTGAACTATTCTCTGGTATTCTTTCAAGGGAGTCAAAAGGCTGACTCAATTTGGTTGCTATTACGATCAAACATATTATTCTCATTTCGGGAAATGAAAGTGGTCCACGAATCGATGTAGATAAGACATCAAAAGAAAAGTTAACACCTAAAATACTTGCAAGACGTTTAACAGCAGGATAAATCTCCACTATTTCTATCAGCAATGCGGAACTACACATCAACTTTATGTCCTACCGGGGAGCCCTAGATCTTGTATGTGTTTGTATGATAGCAAAGGCGTATTCAGAGGTGGAAATATCATTTTAAAATGAAAATAATATAAGTCTATCAGATCCATAATTTTTCTTTGTAAGTGATTTCCATTGAGTGGGGCTTTCATTCCGAGTGCTGAATAGAAATAAGCAGGCAGCTTCGTTCTCATCTCAATTGGTATTATCCTAACCTTCTTCATAAGCTACATGGCGAATAGCGTAGGTGGAGGAAGATAATTACAGCATTTAGATAGATCATTTCTCCTCGAGACGCCCAGCCTAAAACTTCGCTCAAGCTAATAGGTAGACGCAAAAGGAGGGCTGCTAAGTAGCAAAGCGAAAGTGTCTCGATTAACTGCGGATGGCTATGACTGTCGGAAACAGTACCTCTTTTTTTTTGCTTTCGCGTTTGGCCAGAAATTTTTCCTAATTGCCCTTCACTCTGGCTACCGAAAAAGCCAGGATTAGATTCTTCTTCCAGCCATAGAGTTTTTAACCGCAGTTCCCATAAGTCTCTCACGATAGTTTCAATTTCTGGAGCAAAATTTTTCTCTGTGACAAGCCAATAGCATTGTTTCCATAAAACAAGTTGTATGCATTGCAAGTATAGCTTCTTTGCGGCGATACCTTTGTATTTGATGGCTGTGTGTTCGTGAACTTCACGCTTCTTGTGGGTGATTTTACCCAGTTGGAGGAAATCATCTTCATCTTGTTGGGTTACTGTAAATCCCTGATTAAATTGTTAGATTTGGAAGTCTCAAGTTGAATACAATTATGCTAGCGAGCGGGAAAAATACGTCTTGCTCATGACCCCGCTGGCAAAACTTCTTTCCATCCTCAATGTAAAATTTTGCCGCACGACACCCCTCCTCGCTGCATGCTTCGCTCTGCTGGAAACGTTTATACTCAACGGCTTGGGATGACATGGAGGCTGAGTTCTTCTTAGTGAAAAGCTGATCAAAAGATGTCGGCGACAACTGATCTTGTCTACCAGTAGGTCACCTTAAGAAATCTGTCTAATGCGATTCAAGTTGTATTCAAAGTACAGATATCTTTACGACTGATACCATCATAAATTTTACTTCAATCGGGCTTACTATAGTAGGGTGTCGCCTGCTGTTTTGATTAAGTAATAAACTTATTTCTGGAACAAGTAAGTCTAATTATTATAGAACAGTGCACTTGTGATGGAGGTGATAGCCTCGAGGTGTGGACGTCCGCCTTTCAATTTCTTAGAACCAAGATGAATTCAGCTAACCAGCCTTGACATAAATTTTACGTAACCCCAGTCCCACAAACTGGAGGACAAGACTGAATACCTGTACGCGGTGTCCTCTAAGGATCTGGGAGCAAAACATTCTCCCAGACCCAAGCTCAGTCAAATTTCGCAGCACCGAATAAGTTGACCCCCGAGGCAATGATTCAAACTACTACACCACGTCTAGAATAGAACAAAATATAATTTTATTTGTGTCCCTACTGAGTCTATGACTATGAAGGACAACTAAAACTATCTAAATAGCTTTAAAGTTAATAGTAAATTTGTATATTGTTGTGCTTAATTTTTGCCAATAGATGATGAGGGTCAGGCCCTATTTTCCACCACGTCTAATTTTCACTCCCAAAGAGATCAAATCCTGCCTAAGCCTCATCAAGTCTACAGGTACAACCTAGTACATCCTCATTCTAATGACCACACCTCTCGTCGACTTTCTCTGGCCTCAGCCGGTCACCAAATACACGCCCACGCCGATACTTATACCCGACGGAGGAAGCAAAGCGTTGCGCACAATTCTGGGAGATAGCTCTTTGGGATGGACGTAAGAGGGATCAGGACAAGTTTACAAGATGATGCAGAAGAGGGTTACGTTTTCGACGGGCGTAAAATTTCGAATTTTGGCAAGAGTTTTACGAATTGAGCTTTGTGCGCGCCAAGGCTTCGCTTGCGAGAGTGCAGCTCACACTATAAAAACAAGCAAACGATGGAAGGTGTGGTGATCCGCCTCTTGGTGGTGTTCTCTGGTATAGTTTGAGTAGCCTGGGCACCTACTCCACTTGGGAAGGAGACATCTCAGATTATATTTCGCGCGGAGAAAAGTTGATGGATGACGGAGGCATATCTGGATAACCCAGGGTTTTTGAGACGTTCCCCTGGGTGGGTATTCTCGGATGAGGGTTGACTTGGGATGAAGAAAAAGCCACCATAACTTCGCAGTGGTACTTGCAAATGAAATCTGAGGCATGAGTGCTCTTCTCTTACGTTGAATCATCTATTCTGTACTTTTCTTTGATATTGTGCCATAGCAAGATAGCTGCATACGCAATTAAAATCTGATGCAAAAAAAAAAAGAGATATTACAGAGAAGAGGCCGTAGATGGGGAGTCATAAGCTCCCCTAGGGGTATCAGTGGTTATTTTAGTAGTCATTTGTTGGGAAGAAAAGGACAGGGCGCAGGGCTCTTTTGTTTGCACACACTGTATTGCTTTCTCACGTTTATTTCTTATGATTTCTTTGACAAGTAAAGCCATGCACGTAGATAGTAGTGAGTCTGTATAGATCACATACCCGTGTCACGCCTATTGGGTGTAGGGCAGATGCCTGATACGAATAGCAATCAAACTCAAACTCTATGCCCTCAGAACTTTTGTTTCTCTACTCTTTAAACTATGGGCAATGTAATAACAGATGCTGTATACTTTGCCTTTCCATTCAGCAAAAGTTATACGCAATGTCTTAAACCATCCCAATCATGTGCAGGTGGACCCTTGTATTTTCCACATAAAGTATTGCCTGTAAGTATCCAGATCCTGTTTCTCTTTTTGAAATTATGGATTACAGAGATAAGTCAGGTGATGGTTAATGATAGTTATTAATGAGAGGCTTGGCCGGCAAAGACGAATTCTTAACCTTCCAGTGGTGCCGATATAATCGCTCAGTGGAATCCACATATATGGGATAGCCAAGAATAATCGCATCCGAATCGAAGTCGAAAGCAACCTCAAGCATATCTTCATTTGACCACTTCTCGACAATGCGTCTCTAACCATACTCGTTTGAGTCCTCAACCTCTCTCTAATCACGTATCATCTCGCCTCAACGACCAGAAAGAAGTTTATCCAACTGTAAACAGGAGCTTGCCCCATTAATTTCCAGCCATCTCTCACTAGATATTTACGATGCTATTTTCACCCGCAAGGAGAAAATCAAGTCGGAAATACAAAGACTGAGTCCTGGCTTATATGAGACTGCTGCTCTAATGGAACAAACAACTTGATGGAGAATAGGCGCCTGAGATTTGAAGCGAGAGAGGGAACAGGTCTCGGAAGACTATGCTGGGACCTATACTTCCGAAGGGTTTCCGACATTGGATTGATTGTAGGCCCCAAGACCGATATCTCGGCTAATTAGCCAGGAGGGCTTCTTTTGCCGATGAGTCAACGGCACTCCCCAGTGGTTATTGCGATTTTTCCCGACTGCCATACACCCGCAATTGGCCATTATTTCGTTGGCTGGAGAGAGGAGATGATGAAGGGCAAAGGGCTCATCTAAGTGTATGGTCGAATGAGGACTTGTGAGGGGTGGTACTGTTTGAGGGGAGCTATATGGGAGGCATAGGAGAGGATAAACTACTGGCATAGTTATCCTTGGCCTGTAGGCAGAGAAGACCTGCACGTCCTACATAGTCATAGACTTAGACAGGACAATAAAAATAAATAAATAATAAAGATGATGAGGGGCTTGGTTCTTGAGTTTTCTATTATTTTTGTGTTGGGATACACTTTGTCGATCCTTCTATACTCGATAATTAGTAGTCCCGATCGACTTGAATTTGATTTTGAATTTGAAATCTTTTACGTGACAGGATGAACCTATTATCTGTTTAGACGTGATACGGGTAGATGGGCTCTGAGAGCTCAATCCTATCTACATGACCGGCAGTGAAGCCAGAATCGACAAAATAAAGGAAAAAAAATAGTCCCGACCGAGTGGTGTTTGGCAAACGGAGATTGCGTATACCCTATGTTAACGTTTTTTTAACATCAGATTTGAGATACGTATACAGCTATCTAGCTATGACATAATATCAAAGCAAAGTACATGATAGATGATAGATGATTCAATATAAAGGAAGAGCACTCACACTCAGATTTCATTTGCAGATACCACTTGAGGTTAAACCTTACGGCGTATAACCTCTTCCGTGCATACCCACTGCATGGAAGAGCGTGATAAACCTGTGGCTATTCGAGTGCGCTTTCATCATCCCACATGTACAATACCACCGCGAGAGAGAGTGGTGTGTGGGTTTTACTGGACTCGAACCGGCTTTCTCCTATCTCGAATGGGGTAGGTGTTCAAGCTACCTAGCTTCTACTTAGGAAAACGACCCGAATGGCGTACCACTGCAGCAATGCACCATCCGACCCTCCTCGGCGCACTAGATAGACTTGAGCCAGTAATATTTCTCCAAGTCATGGATCAGCTAGAATTAGCAACACCGCTGATTAAGCGGGTTGGTACCATCCTATCTAACAGAAGCATCAAGCTTCTTCTCAATGATGATCTGAGTTTTAAGTTTGCTGTCTCAGGAACACCCAAAGGAAGCCCTATCTCGCCTCTATTATTTCTTCTATCGAATCGATTCCTACACCCCAATCATCAAAATAATAACATACTCCAGCTCTCATTTATTGATGATCTGTCCATTTCTTATGCTTCCAGCTTGGGCAGCAAAGATATAGGGAAGCTAGAAGGGCAGAAAAAGACTCACCTGAATACACTTTCATTTGTAGCGCACAGCGTGCTATCACTACAATCGCTCCGGGCTGGCTACTTCATCTTCAGATTTAATTCTAACTTATGTGGAAGTGTCCCACACGGAACGGATTCGCGATTTTCTCCAGCCACCACGCACCAGTTCATTATCCAAGTTTAATTATTTGAAGAGGAGAGGATATGAAGCGAAATACAAGGGGCTCTTCCGAGCCAATGGCTGAATCAAGAACGGTTAGGAGATGTTGCGGCTTAAAGGCAGCTGTAAAGAAGGCAGAGTGAGGAATCTGTACCCGAGGTGCCTGCATCCTTGCCATGAAATCATGTAGGACCTGTATTTACAGTGTATTAATGGGCCAATGGTAGTTCATAATCACACACGCGTCGTGTAGGCTAGTCCAGCCCGAGCCAAATTGTTCCGCATTAGCAGAAGCAGTCGCCAGGTATTTGTGTTGCACGTGCTATACAGACATTCCAGTCACGTGATATTCGGATATTAATGATAGTAGTTAGAATAACTGGGGCTATCCAGAAGGCCGGGTTGTCGATACACTCATGACCATAAATTCTGTACTTAACTTCACTTGGGTAGTTACTTGAATGAATGCGCTCTACAACCACAATGACTGAGTGTTGTACTGGTTCGGTTGAGATGATAGGAGACAGTGGAAAGGAGGATTTTTTTTTAAATCATTTAAGTGTATTCAGCTATGGAGCTATGACACATGACCGGTGCTAGATTTACATATTGGATGACTCTCTGACGTTAGAAACACTATTACTCTTGGCTTCATTCGCAAATACCACTACGAGGTATATTTGCTTACGCAGACAGTCGACCCTCAGGGCTTGTCCCTCGATATCTGTAAGAACAAATTTTGGCATATTTCAAAATTAAATTCTCAAATGTAATTAGAATCTTTAGTTAGATTCACAAAGTCCTCCATAGTCTTAGACTCAGTAAGGACTATAATAAAAATCTTATCTAATCTAACAGTCGAGCCTCCTCTGTAAGTACCCACCAGAGAGAAATTTAAAACCTTTGATTATCCAAGAATGCCCTCATCATCCCCGTATACCAGCGTCGAGAGAAATGTGGTTGTATTTTACCAGATTTAAACCAGCGATCTACTGTCTCGAGTGGGATATGTGTCCAAGATATCCAGACTCGACTTGGGAGACCGGCCAAGACGATGTACCACCGCGCTATCCAACCATGGCGGTGTTTGTAGTGTCGCCTGCACTCTCGCAACCGAAGCCTTGGCACGCGCAAAGCTCAATTCGTAGAAACTCCTTACCAAAATTCAAAATTTCATGCCCATTGAGGTTATATCCATCCTCTGCATTATCTTATGGTCTTGTCCTGATCCCTCTCACGTCCATCCCAAAGAACAGTCTTCCAGATATGTGCGCCACGCTTAGTTTCTTCAGTCGGATGTAAACATCGGCGTGGGCGTGTATTTGGTGACCAGCTGAGTCCAGAGAAAGTCGATGAGAGGTGTGATCATGGGAATGACGATGAACTTGGCTAGGGGAGAACATTTTCCTCCCAGGCTCGTAGAGGATTCCGCATACAGGTATTCAGACTTGTCCTACAGGAGAGGAGGATGGGCTGCTGTATTAGGAAAGGGCGGAAAACACAGGCTGTTCATGTACTTTTCAATCTCTTCATCTGCCGAGTCAGGTGAGATGATATATACAAATAGTAGCTTACTTCGCATCATCCATCAGATGATATTATCAATTGTTGGAATGCGCATCTTGCATCTCCTTCGTCGATCACCAGTGTCAGTAAGATTTCACATTTGATACCTACTGACACCCATTGGCCACAGTGATATGCACTCAGTGTCGATCAACCCTCACTTTCCATGAGAGCAAAGTTTAAAGTAGTACAATTGGAACTTGAAAACTGTAGCTAGTATCCTAGACACAGGTTCTAAGAGTCCTTAATAGTCATTGGCTTAGTTAGGACTATAAACTAAATCTAATCAGTATCCATGATGTCATGAACCCAGCGTGAGCGCACCAACTCCGCGACTTACCATTGCACATGATCTCGTGCCACTCCACCGAAGGATAACAAAGACATATAATTGCTATACACCTCTCAGATCATAACCACAACGCTGAAGGGTCATTGTTTCCTTAGAAGTAGGATAATATAATCCGAACCCCGCGTGTCTAGCATAGGGTTAGGCCGAAACTACTGTAACGACAGCCATAAATTCCGAATTAGTGTATTCATAGCCCTGCGAGTTTTCCATGGGGAACTTCAATTCCAATGCGGCTCCGACTCAATTTGCCTTAGAAGTATCAAGTATATTAAAAGTGTATTTAGACTCGCCCGTCTTAAACGGCCTGGCCTATCGCGACGGACGCCTGCGGTGGCTGAACCAGTTGCGGCTAGTTGCGAGCCACCAGAGCAGCTTGTGCTGCGCCATGATTGTCTGTGTCGTTATTTCTCGATATTTTCGAGCAAAAGCTACGACCTTTGACCTCAGCGGGCGAGGTAGATATAGGACGGGGCTACAATGGCATTATTATTAATTCATTTATTGTCCTCTCTGAGTCTATGACTATGTAGGACATGGGCTACACTGGTAGTTCTATCCGAATACCTGGGTGGATATTGATGTCACACTTGTTCCAGCAGTAAAATAGGGCTTGACCTGCGGGATCAACTAGCATAAAATTGTAAAGAACATTGAAAACTCGCCATTAAATTGAGGAAATGACTGGATATATCCTTAAGTGGTACTTCATAGTCTAGGAAAGAATAGGAAAGAATATTTATTCGTGACGGGCACAAGCATAGCACTTAAAGAGCATGACACGGAGAAGGCTAGTCCTTCCCCGACGACTATATACGACGATAACCTAGTTTGATATTTGTACTACTCATGTAGTGGGTGCATTCGCTGATACCACTCGAGATCTTTATGCTAGAGACTTTCAACATTTCCTCAACCGTTAATATCTACCAAAGGGAAAACAGGGAAACCCTTTGGCTATCCTAATATGCCTTTGTCATATTGTATATAGCCGCCGCGCGAGATATGGCCTTACAGTCCTCAATTTCTCGAGTGAGGTAGGTGTCCAGGCTACCCAGATTTTAATTCGGGGAGATGACGACTAGAAGGAGGACCAAAGCACCTTCCATCGTTGCCTGTTTTTAGAGTGTCGGTTGCACTATCCGAAATCGTTGCCCCTACACCCACAGACAATCTTAAGTCGAAGACACTCGAAAAATGTGCGTCCCAACGTGCCCATTTATGACCTGGTCGCTCGTTCGTCCCACGTCCCAGCTGCCTCTCCTTAAGATGTGAAGCCCTATTAGAGCAACGGTCCCTTCATAGACCAAGGCCCGAACTTTGTAGATTATGACTTGGATTCCTCCTTGTAGGTACACATAGCATCGTAACTTTATAATGGGAAACGGCCGATTTTTGATGAGGCGAATGCCCAATTTCAATTGTAGTAACGTCATTATCGGTATTTGAGGCGAGGTGATGTGGTAAGATTGAGGTAGGGGACTCGCGTGAGAATGATGCATCCGACATTGACGAGAAGTCATTGATTTAATATATGCTTGTAGTTGCTTTCTTCTTTGATTCGGATGCAATTCTTCTTGGCTATTGTTGGTACAATATGGTATACGCGCGTAAATAAAAGGCAATAAAATTAATTCAATAAAACGACACAATAACATTCACATATAATTCATTCTTTCTACCTTTTCTAATCCTCTTGGAGTCATGTTAGAATGCCAAGATAATATGACGTAAGTTGCACTAGTGTTCCAACGGCTATTCCAGATTTGTAGAGTATTATGCGCGATTACACCGGCTGCACTGGAGAGTGAAGAATCCCTCTTTGCCAGCTTTCGTAGTCTAGGACTTAATAAAGACTTAACTTTATATCCATCAATCCAGAAGTCAAATTGGGGGGTTGTGTGAAAGGCTATATCGCCTGAACTTCCCAAAAGAGAATACATGTGAATGGTTCTCACTCCTCTCTCCTTACACTATCACTAAACGGGAATCCTATTGCTCATACTTATAACTAGTCATTGTTTCCAAGATAACACATCATCTATCATCTATCATTAGGTCGTTTGATCGTTGAACAATAATATCTCTCACTCCTTCGTAATGGGAAAAGTTCAGGGGTTCTTGCACAGATGACAGGTCCCAGCAGTATAACAAGGAACAAATGAGAAACAGTAAAGATCCAGCAGCATTTTATGGTAGATGTGGGGGAATTGATGTTTAGCTCAACCGACTAGAGCAGGAGGTAGTTCCGACCAAGTGAACAAACATCATACAGCATGAGAATACGAAAATCATAGATTAAAACAAGGCTATCGACGCGTTTTACGAGACGACATACCCATACACGGGAGTCCTAGGAGAGATAGCAGGCCAGGAGTGAGGCTAAAGCATTTTATTGAGGCTTTATTACGAAAATCTCCTACTCTGCCAGCTTTTTAAATTAGACGATTAAACCGAGTTGAAGCGACCCATTAAATCTAGCTACAATAACATTGACTTATGATAACTACCCTTAATTCCTTCATCTAGCCGCCATTGATGCAGCAAACATAGGCCATGCTTCCCAAAAATATGCATAGTAATCAGTCGAGAGTCCTGTCAGGAATATATAGCTCGAGAAGCAACTAAATCGTCTAGATTAGTACAACTTTCCGGGTACATGGGCGGGTCAGAAACCACTTGATTAGGCATAGTAACGAGAAAAGGCATACCGTAAGTCCTCCATCAGAGCCATATCCTCCGCAGTCAGCAGATGATCTGGAAGGTTGTGAATTATACACGCAATAGCTTCACGCCCCACTTGCGCCGCACATTGAAAAGCAGAAATTGCTTTCGGCAGGCCCTTCATCTTGTGCGCTGAGTAGGATCCCTCAAACAATACAGACACATCGCAGTATGTCATATACCGAGAATCGGGAATACAACCGGGATTGTGGATCACCTAAGATATTGTTAGAGCCAAATTCAGCGGTAAGAAAAGCACAAAATATGTATCAAGCCCAGAGCTTGTCTGGCCCGGAAACTTTCCATGGTGCGAGGTTAGCTTAAGGACTAGTTTTACCAAAGGCTTTTTTCCAAAATTTCCTGTAGAGCGGATAGTTGAGGCGAGAGTCTCCAAGTATCGCGCACTCTTATCACTATACAAAGCTGGAGTCTCGTCCAAGAATATTCCTTTGACATGGAGGCCAGGCCTAGCAACATCTTCAGCCCAGCCCGAATAAAGACCCACATCCCGAAGAGCTAGTTCTAGTTGTCGATTTGTCCAACTCGTCGAAACATATCCAACAGTCCATACGTTGTTGTGGCAATTTAGTTTAGAAATTTCTCGTACGTAGTTGCCATCAGGGATTACCTCATGACCTGGTCCACTGGCGGGGTTCACAACTACTGTGTAGTAGAGATTAGGATGGGCCTTAATTCTGTTTCATAATCAGTCATGTCCATGAAACTAAAGACCTGAATGATCAGATAGCTGACGCCTTAAATAAAGGTTCCCAAGCACCAGGGCTGGGATAGACATAAAGTGGGACGAGGATGCTCGACCATGGGCGTGAAAATGACTTTTTGCCTCCATCCATGGTAGTAGACAATATTGAGAATGTAGCGAAGCTGTAGCCAGTATCGAATCCATAAACTCCTGCTAAAGAAGCTAAAGAGGTTATGAGTCGCACTTTTTGTCGAAGCGGGGGTTTGTAGGAAATTTCAAGCGGTTAGTCCTCTATTTAATATCAGCTAGTCGAGCGATTTGGGAAAATGAAGTGTCGGGAAAATATAGTGGAGAGTTGTTGATTAAACCCACTTAGCGTGTTTGTTTACTATACTTCCTGAGTCACAGACTATACAGCACATTGGACTCCTCTCTGGCCTAGGCCACACCTTGTACAGTGCTTCCATCCTCCTTTAATACTTGGAAGATCATTGATTTATTGCCTGTGATGAATAGCCATTCATCTCGGTAATTACCCGTGGAATTCAAGACCCACGTAGTATCAAAGTGCTATGTAATCTAACTATCATAACAGAGCGAAGGACTTGACTTCTCGTCTACCGTAGATAATGGGAGGCTGGCCAAAATATGAGTAGCTATGAGCCTAGCTAGTCAAGGATCAACCCTTTTTACGTTCCAAATAAATGATGGTCTTCACAGCTAATTTGCTCTAATTTCAATATTTTTTACAAAAAGGTGCTCGGATGCTGGCCCTGTACAACTGGTTGTTGTCAAAGGAAAGAGAATCACTTAAGGCAGAGCGGAGAAGTGTGGACTAATTATTTATTTATGTAAAATAGATATTTTAATTGAGACGACCAAAAATTAGAATTCGTATATACTAATATGTCTTGTATTTAAACAAACAATAGTGTAGGCTGTGTCCTCTCGTAATAGATGTGGAGCCACGCTAGTACGTATCCATACAAATCTTAGTGAATAAACCGAAATGGAGTGTGAATAGTGAATGTAGGTGTGTGTTTGTGTTTGTTGTACTACTTGAGTCTATGACAATCTAGCACATTGGGCTCCTCTCTGACCCAGGCCACGCCTTGTACAGTGCTCCTATCCTCCTTTGTTACTTGGAAGATCATTGATATATTGCCCTTGATGAACAGCCATTCAGCTCAGTGTTTACCCGTGGAATTCAGCCACCTTTTCCACGGAACCTTCTACTCAAAATAAAAATGGTAGCAATGGAAACTGCATGCGCGGGAAAAAGTCTCAAAAAACCTGCAGCCCCAGCCTGGCAAGGCTTAGATACTGGGGCCACATGTGGTGCGCATATTCATCTACATCTCCGTTCTTTATGATATTAGAGATCAGCTCAATTCAATCCACCATCTCCGTATCGGGTGCTGGGTACGCTCCGGAAACTCATCGGATGGCTTTTCCTCCATGATCAAGAGTTGGTGATGAGAAGGGCTTCGACCCTACCATCTGATCTGATCGTGGTTAGCTTCGTGACAATGGTGATAGGGGAATGTGTTGAGGGATGAAGACGATACAGACGGCGAAAGCGATTGGGAATCCTCGTCGAAGTGAGGACTTTGTCACTCAATCTCGGCTCTGCAGGCTCTACAGTGATAGCTTGAAGTTTGTAGGGGATACCACTGACGGGTGTTGAGAATAGTCCCCTAGTGAATGTAGGGATTGCGTTGGGAACCCATTATGTGATGAAGATAATCGTTACGAATAAGATTACACTTCATTTTCAACAGTTATCTACAAGAATAGCTGAAAAAGACAAATTATTGGCCCATAAATAAATGAGCTGCATGAAATAAAGTTAGAAGCAATATCAAGAGTAAATCATTTATGGAAAAGAAGTTACTCGACTTTTGTTTTCCTAGCTGGACCCGTACAACTAGAGCGCCCAATCTGTATTCGAGCCGGTACAGAAAGAGCTTGAGACCGCATACCCAAGCGAAGTAATGGATTTATCTTTGCTCCATGTGTATATCAAGCAGAATGAAGGACGTACTTAATCTACATGGCGGCATAAGATTAGAAAGGGGCTTACCATCCTCAAAGATATAGATATGGGAATAAGCCCCTCGCAAAAAAAGTATTCAGCTCATAAAAAATAAATTAAGTTAAGCAATACTTTTTGGTTATATGTAGAGCACTTAGAGCTCATGACTTCAAGAAGTAAATTGTTTCTTCATTATGGACTGCTCTTCTGACTCTGATAACTCTAACCAGCATATATTCGACTTTACTTCTAGTTCAAAGACAGTGCATAATGTTTGCACCACTCCAATTACCTCCAACACCTCTGCAGAGAATCTCGAGTCGGCTAAGCAGTTGATAGATGAAAATTATATTGCCGTTGTTGGTGGCCTAGGGTATATTGGAAGTCACACTTGTCTCGAGCTTTTGAAATCTGGGCACAATATTCTGATCATTGATAATCTTTGCAATTCTTTCGTGACAAATTTTGATAAAATTTGTTTGCTAGCCAAAGATTACCATGAATTGCGGGGACAAAGAGTCCCTATAATACATTTTTGCGAGGCTGACTATAGAGATGAGACAAAAATAAAACAACTCTTGGACAAATATATGATTTTTGATACGGATCTCAACAAATATACCAAGGCCAAATCAAGAATACTCGGCGTCATTCACTTCGCCGCTCATAAGTCTGTGTCGGAGAGCATCGAAAATCCATTCAAGTATTACGCAAACAATGTTTCTGGCTTAATCGAATTTTGTGCTGTTTTAAAGAGCTTCAACATTAAAACCTTCATCTTTTCGTCATCAGCTACAGTTTATGGAGCCGTAGCAACATCGGGAATTTCTGTTCTCCGCGAAGAATATTGTGTGCACCAGGCTGAGACGTTTGTCGATCACCAGGGTACCCTTCTCACACATGAATCAGGATGTACTGGTCTCACAAATCCGTACGGAAGATCTAAGTGGATGTGCGAAGCTATTCTTTCGGATATCTCCCTCGCAGACCACGACTGGTCAATCATGGCCCTACGATACTTCAATCCGATTGGCTGTGATGAGTCTGGGCTCCTGGGAGAACACTCTCGGGGAGCTCCGTCGAACTTGATGCCTGTCATAATGCAGGTCCTATCTGGGGAGAATCGTGTGCTCAAGATTTTCGGTGCCGACTACCCCAACACTCCCGATGGAACTGCAATACGAGACTACATTCATGTTACCGATCTAGCCCGAGGACATATATCGGCCCTTGCAGCTGCTAGAAAAAAACAAGGATTTAGAACGTACAACCTAGGAAGCGGTATTGGCTATTCAGTACGTGATATTATCAAGGCTGTTGAAGAAGTTTCCTGTAAAAAAATACCAGTTCAGATTGCGCCCAGACGTAAAGGCGACGTTGAAAGATGCGTAGCATTACCGCAAAGAGCCGAGAATGAATTGAAATGGAAAGCAGAAATTTCATTGAAAGATGCGTGTCGAGACTCTATCAAGTTTATGAAACTTGAAGGGGAGAGAAATCGCGCAACTACTTAGACGTTTGACAATTGCCAAATTTATTAGTAGTTTGTAGAAATAAATCTCCCTTTTTACTATCTTCATTGCTAAACTATAAGAGTGTTGTTCAAACACAATCCTCCCTGTGCCTTAACACAATGGAGTTATGATATTATCGTGACCGCGTACTGCCCCAGCACCCAGAGGGTATAGCACGGGTAGTCTAGATCTATAGGTCTCTTTCCTACCTATATTTTTGTTACATTGAAACTAGGAAGGCAAAACAAAAAACAAACAAAAATAACCATTCAAATCATAATTTCCAAGGTGCTAATGCCCTGCACTACACCTTAATTCTCGTACCACACCAACCGGCCCCAAGAAGCATTATAGTTGAACTTTTAACCCCCTGTTTATGATTTATTCTGGCTGCAACATTTTGTCACACTTAAAAAGCGCCAGAATATCTGCCATCCTGCTTGTCCTATAATCGACTTTAGGCTTGATGTCGATTTTTTTATTAGTCTGTAATCACAGTCATGGAGATATTTCATGAGATTGCTTAATGAGAGGCTAGGATTGATTCCGATATAATTTGGTAGAAGACTTGTCCCAACTATCAGCGGGCTACAGCGTCTTTATCTATAGGTCAATTGCCCATATTCCAACTACTGTCACTGTACGTAGTCTTGGTGGTTTCAGGTGATCGGAACGAAGAGGATAAATAACTGTGTTGTGCGATAAGTATTTGTTGAATGACCTAATGACTTAATGACCTTTCATGTATTATCTTATAAATGATGACTAATTATGTTGATGAGTAATGTATTACCTCTTTAGGAATGGCGTCAGGAGAGAGAGACAATTGCTGTTTATACGTGTTTCCTTTAGTTAGAGAGGAAAGAGAAGATACATGTTAACCACAAATTGTTATTACTGCTACAGAAAGCTTGTGATATAATACCACTCGAGTTCCGACAGTATTGAAATGTATAACCCACTACTTAGTTTGTGGACTTATTGGTAGAGGCAAGCTTATGCAAAAATGAAGGATAAAAGGATGTCAATTCGACTACTCTTCTAAACACAGGTACCAGACTTCTTTAATCCCATTAGATAGCCCGGGTGTCACAGTCTAAGCATAGGCACTTGGGCAACCTGTTATAAATTGTCAAGGATTTCTAGGAGGAAATATCTCGAAGAACAAGTGTACAATTTCGGACAAGAATTTGTTGATAGTTGTATGCGATATCGAACTCTTAGAAATCCTTGACAATTTATAACAGATTATGAGACCAACGCTCTAGTCAACTGAGCTGATTAAATTTATTGATAAGTTGTCCTTAGATCGAATATACCTCATTTTTTGACTCGCTACTTCAATACTCCTAATCTCACGATGTCTACTGCGGAAATACTGAAGTCAATGAAGTGTGCTCCAAAGTTGGAGAAATCAACATACAATAGATGGAGCACTCATTTTCTTGATACTTTGTCACTATTTGAAATTGAAAGTTACATTCTGGAGACAAAAGTCGAGCTCGAGACTCAGGATACAAAAAGCACAGAGATCGGCCTACTTATCTCAAGACAAGATAGGAATATACGAGTTGCCATATCCCAACTTGTACCCGACATAGCATTTCACCTCGTTCATTCTTCATACTCTTCGAAAACTTGTTGGGATAATCTTAAACAATTCTACTGTCCAAACGCAACTGAAGACGTGGATGAACTATTACAGGAATACTGGAGTTTAGCGTTTGAAGATGACATTGATGTCGACGAATGTGTGCAAAAGTTGTCTGAAATCCGATCTAGAATTTGTTTGATCAAAAGCATGTCAGCGCCTTCCGATTCAAGCATGAAGAAACGGATACTAACCCACTTTATCAAATGCTGTGGAGGATTTTATATGTCGATTATCATTTCATTGCGGGAACCAACAATCTCTTTGCAATCTGCAATATCATCAATTCGTGCTTCCCAAGCGGTGTATCGCGATCTTCACCCGACACCAGTTGTGGCCGTGGTCGGTGAATCTAATTCGAATGCCGATGGCTCTGAAAGTAATAAACGATGTGCGCACTGCAAATGACGTGGCCACTTGCGCGAGAATTGCTTTCACTGGATTGATACTCCAGATGGATCCAAATGGGCGGCTAAGAACCCCACTAAGGCTGTCAAGGTTAGGAAATTGCGAGCCAAAGCTGCCAATCGAAATAAGCCCAGGAAGGTAGAATCCGAAGATGTTAATAGTGATGATACATCTGATTCTGGTGTGTGGATGATGGAGAAGCACGCACTTATGTCCATCAACGGGTCTAAAAAGAGTGATGTTGTTCTCGATACTGGTGCAACGAATCATACATTTCATGACAAGTCGATGTTCATTTCATTATCTGCTAGTAATAAAACAGTTGTGGATGCCTCAGGCCGAAAAATCGCTGTCTCCGGAACTGGAAGGGTTCAGTTCAGGGTATTCGAGTTGGAGAACAAGAGCTCCAGTAAAGTTATCACTATGGATAATGTTTTGTACGTTCCTTCATGTACGAGAAACATGGTTTCTGGAATTCAGCTTTTATCGAAGGGGTTTGGCATTAAATCAGTGAACGGAGGACTCAGTGTGTTATCAAGGAATGGATCTACAATTGCTACTGCTAGACCAGATAAAGGATTATTTTGCTTCAATACAAATTATTCCTCCTATACTGCCCATTCACATTTTCAAAGTCGTTCCATCAAATTACTGTCGCATGATGCACAGGAGTCAGCCACCAAACTTTTGCACCGTCGTTTTGCTCATGTCGGTCCAGATATTCTAAAAAGAATAAACCTGTCACAAATATAGATATCAGGGTTGAAGGCTAAGAACACCCAAGATTTCAATATCAAAAAGAAGGTGTTGCAGTCATGTGATGTATGTAACTCATGCAAACAGGTGGAAAAGATCAATCGTGGCCCAGTTCCTTTATCCTCTGGTATTCTTGACTTGATTCATTCCGATACTTGGGGTAAGTGCATGATTCCTGGCTTACATGGAAGTTTATACTTTATTACCTTCACTGATGACTACACTCGTGAAAGTGAAGTTCATCTGATGAAAAGTAAGATGGATGTTCCGAATTGCTTTCGACTCTACAAGGAAAAGAAAGAACGGCAGTCTGGGCGCACCATTAAGGCAATGCGATTTGACGGTGGTTCGGAATATAAAACAATCGACTTCAATGGAATAACCCAGCAAATTAGCGGTCCATATACGCAGCATCAAAATGGGGTAGCAGAGAGATTAAATCGGTCACTTATAACAATGGCAAGATGTATGCTTTCTCAGGCCCATTTACCAAGTCGATTCTGGGATGCTGCTGTCATTACAGCCTGTTACTTGCGAAATAGATTACCAATGCGCCAGGATAAACTAACCTTCTTCGAATTGATGAATGGTCGCTCTCCAGAAATTTCTCACCTGAAAGTTTGGGGTTGTATTTGTTATGTATATTCAATAGTAAGGACCCATAGCGCTTCAAACTTACGCCCACCTCACAACAAGGCATATTTATCGGTTATTGCGAGTCAACAACTCAATACCGAATCTTCATTCCTTCGAAACCCGGTCCTAATAAGGTTATAACGTCAGCAAATGTGAAATTTATTGAAGATTCTTTTTGGGATTGGAATGAACCAATATCCAATAATTTTGAAACTTTAGATATGCATGTATTACCTTCAAAAACCCCAAATTAAACTGAAGATGATTCGGAGAATGATTCTTCTCCTGAAACCAATATCGCACCACCAAACCCTCCACAGTCTAGTGTTTCAGATTCAACATCAATATCAGAACCAGAAATTTCAAGTGAAAATATCACTGATTCCCAAGATTTGAATCCTGAAGCAGAAGTTCCGAGACTTAGGAGGAGCAATCGCGTCCCTAAACCTATCCAGCCAAGATCTGCCTGGGCACCGAGAGATCACGCTTTGCAAGTCCGAAAGGAAATTGTGATACCCCAATCCTATTTAGAGGCTTTTGATGGGATGGAAGGTAAAGAATGGAAAGCTGCTATCGATGACGAACTTCAGTCTTTAGAAGAAAAGGGAGTTTTCGAATCGATCAGTCATGTCCCACAAGGAAGAAAGCCTATTGGTTCAAGATGGGTATTCTCTATCAAGACTGATGGGAGGTTTAAGGCGCGATTAGTAGCTCAAGGTTTCAGTCAAGTACCTGGGATAGACTTCTTTGACACATATGCACCAACATTACGAATGGACTCCTTACGAATTCTTTTAGCTGTTTCTGCATTTCGAGACTGGGAAATACATCAAACTGATGTAAAGACAGCATATCTTGAAGGTGACTTGAATGAAGAAATATTCATGAGCCGCCTAGAGGGAATGACTGGTACCAAGTTTGTCAGGATCCAAAAAGCTTTATACGGTCTTAAGCAATCTGGCCGAGCATGGAACAAGAAGCTTGATACGGAGCTCACACTATTGGGCCTCCAGAAGTCTGAATATGACCATTGTATCTATATTCATCCAAAAATACAACATGTTATCGGAGTTTATGTCGACGATTTAATTGTTTGTGGAAAGAGCACCAAGAAAGTCCTCGAAATAAAAGAAAATATTTCTCAAATATTCCCCATTAAAGATATGGGCTTAATTGATACAATAATAGGCTGGAAAATTACTCGGGATAGGAAAACTCGGACTTTAAAGATCTCTCAAGCAGACTACTTGATAGGGAAAGTTAAATCTTTTGGACTCGAAAATGCCCAAGCATTTACTTCACCTATGGATTGCTATGATGGAATTTTTCCTGGAAACGATGAAGAGGAATTAGCCGATGAATCAGCATACGCCAGCGCTATTGGAAGTATAGGCTATGCTTCAAATAGCACAAGGCCTGATATCACTTTCGCAACGTCTCAGCTTGGTAGATTCAATTCTTCACCAGTCATCCGGCATTGGAAAAGCGCTTGCCGAGTCTTTAGATATGTTAAAGGATCTATAGACTGTTGCATTACTTATAGTTTCGG